CTGCAAAGCTGTTTGCTAGGATGTATCAGGACCCTTAGGAAAGGCTCCTAGCCTTTGACCCATTAATTTAACTTCCAGGAATTTATACTAAGGAAACAACTGGAGACAAGCAGTGCTCTGCTACAAGAATGTGAGTTACAGCACTATTTCTTAACAGCTGAGGGGGGATAATAGTTCGAATGTACACAATAAGAAAAGAGTTACATAAATCAGGCTATACCATACAGTAGACTCCCCTTTAGGTCTGAGAATACTCTGGGGGGTTGTAGAAAGGCCTTCTGGGGGTCATCTGCTAAGATTGTGCTTTTAAAATTATTTTTCTATCCTAACATCAGTTGCGTTTTAGCCTCATTAATGAGGAAAGAGTTTTATGATTTTTGGAATATGTCAAAGGTTACTTAATGACATCAGTAAATGCTTACATGAAAAAAGCATGCTACTATGTATATAGTATTATCCACAACCCTCCTCTCCCCCCAGAAAAGTGAAGAAATTTGTCAGGATATTATCAGTGATTATCAGTGGCATAAATTATGTATGATTTTACTGCTTTTCTTTTGATATTTTTTCATTTCTTCATCATCTATAATTTTGCATATCAGAATTAAAGAAGATCAGCTTTCTTATTAGTGGTCAGCTGGCTGCTTATCTTGTACCAGCTCAGGATTTCCCACTCCTGTGCTGTGGAGCCATGAGAGGGTCTGCCACATCTGTGATCAAACTGGGAGCCTGCTGGGGCAGCCCTGTCCACAGCCCAGTAGGCATGCCCTGGCTGGTACATCAGATGCCCCATCAGTCAAGTGAGTCACTACAGAAGGGTGTCAAGCTGATGATATTGCCACACAGCTGTACTTGAACTCTCAGCCACATCCCAGCATGATGCCAGGCCTTTGAGCCTTATCTTCCTAAACCATTATTTCTTTCCTGTCCAGTGAATGTCACAGGGACTGGTTGGGCTGTGTGACTCCTTTTGAGGATACCGTGGACCAGCAAACTAAAGCTGATGCAAGTCTCCCAGTTGACTCAAAACCAGACCAGCAAATTTTCCTTAAAGTTTAAGCTGTTGTTGCTGTACTTGGGCCTTGATGTGGGGGCCTGGCAGGACCCCAGGAATATTTAGGGTGAAAAATGTGCTAGGGCATTCAGCTGGACTCTGAGGTTGTGGAGAGGCCTTTCTGGGTCAGCTGCTATGAGTGTAGTTATAAAATTATTTTCTTCTATCCTAACATCAATTATTTGTTATCTTTGGCCTCATTAATGGGAATAGAGTTTGAGAATTCAATATCGGAGATTTCAGAGCCAGTAATACCAAAGCTGGCCTTTTTTAGTTTGTTTTATCTTGGATTTTTTACCATTGCTGTTGTCACTTTAAATAACTTATAGCCAGACACTTCTGTGGTCAGAGGTTAAGATTATATAAATAGTCTTTAGCCATTATCATCATCCCTGTGCATCTTATTTTCCACCTGTGTGTTCTCTGGGTTGCATCAAAACTGATATATAATGTGCTCTATATTTCTTGGGGGAACGTTTATGTGTTTACGTCATTCTTTTGCTACAAGCATCAATCATTGTGGTATATAAGAGTGTTCAGTAGTATTGCTGACATTTAGTTTTGTTAATGTGACTCTGGAGCACAAGCAAAGTATAATTTCAATCAGTTTAGAAATCATAGAAGTACTGTTGAGTGTGCATTTCATTGTTGCACTAAAATGTAGTGGTAATAAGTTCTAAATTAGAGTTATTTTATAGCAAATAAATGTTATTCCTGTAACTAAAATGCAAGCCAACAAATGAAAATCTGTTAGTTGTTAAAAAGCACAGTTAATAATACTATGGCCGTAGACATGGAGATGGAAGAGTAACTTCTTATGATCATTGCGAGTGTCCTGCGTTGCAGCCATTGTTATTGTTCAGTCACCCAGTCGTGTCCAACTCTTTGCAACCCCATGGGCTACAGCACTCCAAGCCTCCCTGTCCATCACCATGTCCTATAGTTTGCCCAAGTTCATGTTCATTGCATCAGTGATGCCATCCAGCCATCTCATTCTCTGATGCCCTCTTCTCCTTCTGCCCTCAATCTTTCCCAGTATCAGGGACTTTTCCAGAGAGTCATCTCTTCACATCAGATGACCAAAATACTGGAGCTTCAGTGTCAGTCCTTCCAGTGACTATTCAGAGTTGATCTCCCTTAAGATCAACCATAACCCCAGATAATTCCAGCCATGTACTAGGTTGCCAAGAGCCACTTAGATATCCAGGGTTGTAAAAAAACATTCACAGCCCACATTGTGTTCATAGACTAGACTATGTTCCCAGCTATGCCTTTAGCCAAAGGCATGATTCTTGGTACAGTTGAGGTAGGAAACTGGAGGGATTTCCTGTTTATTGTTGTTTAGTCACTGAATCATATCCAACTCTTTTGCAACCCCATGGGGTGTAGCCTGCCAGGCTCCTTCATCCATGGGATTTCCCAGGCAAGCATACAGGAGTGTGTTGTCGTTTCCTTCTCCAGGGGATCTTTCTGATCCAGGGATTGAACCTGCATTTCATGCATTGGCAGGCAGATTCTTTACCACGGAGCCACCAGGGAAGCCCTTCCTACTTATAGAAGCCACTCAAAAAAAAAAGTCTTAAGAACTTTTTAATTATCCTCTGCTGGAAGGAACAGATTAGTTCAGGCCTCTGGGCCTGGGTTGCTCTCATAAACCTCCAGACTGTCCCTGATTGGAACCTGAGTTCCCAGGCTGGGCTGCAGTTGGAATAGCCAGGCCTTGCTCACTGACTGGGTCATTACCTTGTGGGAGGACTAGGGAAAGCAAGGCCTTTCTTACCAGCTGCTCTATGGATTAATTAAGGACTGACTACCCAATGGAAATAAGGTAGCACTTCCTCCCAGGACCCAAGACAGAATCAAGTGTGGGAACAGGTATTAAACTAATCATAGAGTAACTGATCCCTTAACTAATGAAGCTTACTTACTGTCTTATATTATAGTTGTTTTTTGGTTTGTCTCATCTCGTGAAATACACTGTATGCTCTGCAAGTCAGACCCCTTGGTAAATGCTGAATTGTATTTCATTTGTTGTCTTGATTACACTGTGTGTCCAATAAGTTAGTCATTGCTGGAATAATTGAGACGAGAAGAGCCATACTCTTCAAATGTAATCTCTTCTATTATATGAATTCCATCTGCTGTATGAATCTACCAGACAGAAGACTGGAGGCAGGATTGAGTATTTTGTTGGGATTTACAATGTGTTGAGTCTGTTTGGGTCTGTCTGTTGCTGCATTCCCATTTTCCCTTGCAAATGTGGTAGGCATCTGAAGGAAACTCATAAATCAGTGGTTAAGAAGGTTTCTAGTGGATCTATAAAGAAACTTGGCATAGCCTAGAGGACCAAAGCAAGTCCTGCTACCCAGAGGCAATGCACTATGGCAGCAAGAGCCCTGTGCTTGGAGCCAGCAGATTGGGGTCGAAAACTTGGCCCTGATGCTTAGAGCCTGAGTATCTTCAGGTAAGCCTCAAATTGGCCCAAGTTCCCATATCTATGAAATGGTAATTATAATAACACCTCTTGGTTAGATATTTGGGTTAAATGAGATTCATTAATTTAGTGAATAATTATTTCCTGAAAACCTCTTAGGCACTATTTTAGAAGTTAGAGGTACAGCAGTAAACAAAACAAACAAAAATCCCTGCTCATAGAATTTATATTCTAGAAATACAATACCATAGTGGCATTTACTAAATGTTTCATTCAGTTAGTCTGAGAATATTCGACAAACTCACGCAATGGGATTTTACTGTACATTTCTGTAGGAATTTATATTACAACTGTAGATAATTAAGGCCATTATTGAGTCTCTCATCTGAGTTGAAGATATATCATTAAGTAGAACATTTATGTGTTCTTGCTAAATCCTGGAATGTTTAGACAGTGTGTTCCCTGGAATTGGATTCATACAGTGCTTGGGTCAGAAAGGCCAGCCGCTGTCCAGAGCTGCAGGTGGTGTGGCTGGGTGGTTTCTGCATTGTTTTGGTGTTTGCGCTATCTATGCCTTAATGCAATTTCACAGAGTTGCTAAGATGTTTGTTTGTATAATTTGTGAAATAAGTCAAAGGGCTAGCATGACTACTTAAACGCCACCAACCATGTATGTTTTAGTGAGTGATTTCAACCTTTCCTGTCCAGCTTTTTGATCAGCCACCCATCAAAGAACAAATTGACAGATTTAAGCTTTAAGTTCATTTTTTCATTGCCTTCCATCTTGGACTTTTTCTTTGAGTATCAAGATGCCCAAAATCCTTGAAAAGAGAAAGAATAAGCCTGGGAAGCAAACCTCAGAGGGACAACTGGGTGCTGCACACAGTTGTGTGCCCTCTCCTGGGAGGTGTGTGTCCAGGCCCATCCTCCACCTGCGATCACTTTCCTAATGCAGTCCTTCTCTGGGTCTCCAGTGGCACACAGTCCATTTAGTTAAAAATGTAAACAGGAAATCGTTTTCTGGTGGACTGGCCTGTGTGACAACCACCTCCCCCCCACCCCCCGCCAAAAAAAAAAGGTCATTTTTGCTGAGACACAACTTTCTAAACACAAAGCGGTGGAAGCTGGAGGCTGGTTGTAAGCTAGCCCTGACCCAGATGGAGGTCAGTGATAGGGTGTGGGTGTGGGAACCCATGGATGTGGGTTCAGGACATTTTTCGCTGATGGCCAAAGGCACAACAGACAACTGCACAAGCTCCTGTCACCTAGAAAGCAGTTGCTCTGCGGGGCAAAGAGACATGTTACTACTCCAAGGAATTCCAGAACAGGCATTACTTGGAAGACACGGAGGTTTGGTCTGGAGAAGTGTGACTTGGCACTGAAGACACAGCCTGGGTTCAGTGCCCCTCCAGTCTCTCCAGCTCCCTGTCATTCAGCCTCGCCTGAACCTCCTGTGCTCCCGCTGTGGTTTCCCTGTGTGCTGACGAGTTTTTTGGTGGTTATGTCTTGCAGCCCCCCGAATCCAAGCCCAACTTCACCCCTCTCGCCATCTTGGCCCATGTTCTCGGCGCCATCCAGCCCTATGCCCACTTCATCCACGTCCAGCGACTCATCCCCCATCAGGTCTGTTGCAGGGTTTGTTTGCTTTTTTGTTGCTGCCGTTGTTCTCTCATTGGCTTGGTCCTCTCTTCATGCAGTGTTCAGCCTCCTCGTCAACTTTGTTCCCTGCCATCCAAACCTGCACTTGCTTTTTGACAGGCCAGAAGAAGCAGTTCGCGAAGACTCCAGGTAAAATCATGGATGATGATCACTCTGTTCCTGCTTATCCAAAGCTGGTCAGGGATTCCAGCCTCAGAGGCCAAAGCTGGGAGGGACCATTTGCATGGACCAGCATGGCATTTTTCATGCCCCTCTGAACCCTTCCGCCAGTTTCTGAATTTATCTGTGGTGCCTAGAGTTTGGGGAGAGAGTGCTTCTTGAAAGGGCTCCTGTTTAGATTGCTCTCTGAATCAGGAAGCTCTCTGCACTCTAGAACAAGATAATTTCAAAGGGAACAGTGCTGAGACACGTGCCGGCCTTTTCTCCCCTCATTTTTATCAGGTAGCATCAGGCAACATTTATTTGTGGAGTTGGGTTTTTGTCCATGAATATTGACACCTAGATGATGAGACCCAGACCAGTTGGGAGAGAGACAAATATAATACAGAATAAATTGTTCCTTACCTTCCATGCAGTCCCAGGAACCCTTGTGCTCCCAGCCTGAGTCTGTCTCCAGGTGTCATTAACCCTTAGCTCTTATGGGAACAGGTGACACCTCTTTCTGAGGGTTGACCTAATTCTTCCATCCAAGGCCCAGGCTGTAGTTTTTCCCTGCTTTGATGGCACGCAGACTTAATTCTTTGCATTTGAGTTCTTTGGAAAAAAGAAGCTGTTTAAATCCTACAAAAGAATTCATAAGGATGCTGCAGAGTCCCTCTGCTGTGTAGGTCCCCAGCATGTGTGTGTCTTGCACTGATAGTCTCTGCTTTCAGACAGCCAAAACACGGAGCCTAGTTATAAGCTTCATCAGTACTTCAGGCCATGGCAGTGTTTTCTCATCCATCTTGTACTCATAGTTGGTTTTCTCCAAGGGAGAAAGCCTCCCTAGCAGAGAGGCTTAAATAATCAATAAAGCTGTGTCTCACTTTAAAAAAAAAGAAACACCATGCTATTTATACACATGTACATACATACATGGGTGCTCCCCAGGTGGCACAATGGTAAAAGTCCCCCTGCCAGTGTGAGAGATGCGGGTTCAATCCCTGGGTCAGGAGGATCCCCTGCAGTAGGAAATGGCAACCCACTCCAGTATACTTGCCTGGAAAATTCCATGGACAGAGGAGCCTGGCAGTTTACAGTCCATGGGGTCACAAAGAGTTGGACACAACTGAGCGCGTGTGCACACACACACAGATTACTTTATTCTCCTCCAGGCACTTCCATATCTATTATTTTGTTGTATCTGCATGTGAGAATGAGAGAAGAAATGGCCTGAACCCTGTTACAGAGAAAGAAAACTAAGGCACAGAGAAGTGACTTGTATACAGTCACATGACTCATAAGATCCAATCCAGAATTCAGGACTTCTTGCCCTCAACCAGCACTCTTTCCGCCAAATACATGGGTAGCCCCAAATTTGAGTTTTCATGCTTCCCAGCCCAATAGCCTGGCCTGCTTTTCTAGGTTTTATGTCTAGCTTTTTCCTTGAAAATGGGAAAGAGAGAGCTTTTCACTATATCCTTTTATCCTCACCCTGGGAATAAGGTAAAAATACAGATTATACTTTTCTTGACACTCGGATTATCTCCTAATTATTTTAGGTACATTCTGGGAGATGTTAACTTTCAAGGACACCAGATATATGGCTTGAATTGTTCTGGTTAGATCATTGATTGCCCCATGAAGACCTGAACCAGAGCCAAAATATGGCTCCTTCATTTTGATCCAAAGAAAGTAAAATCTTCAAAACATTAGCCCTTGAATAGAATGGGTTGGGGGACTCAAGCCAGTAGAATCATTCAGCTAAACAAAACTGAAATGTGCTCTGCTTTGATGGTTTTCATTTTTCTATATCTCTAAGCTTTGGGGCCCTATTGCCTGTCCAGTATCTCCACCTCTCCACTTCTGTCACCCAGAAATTTCCAGGTTTAACTCTTTTAGCTATTCCTTTTCCAAAGTATTTCCAGATTTGCAGAGGACAGTAGCAGCAGAATCTGCACACCCCACGTGTCTGGGTTCATGATCACTCAGGACCATTCACTCCGGCCCTCGTTGTAATGGCGCCATTTGGATGATGCTGTTGCACAACCCTGTAGGATGCTGCCATTTTGAAATAGGCAAGACAGAGTAGGACTTACAATTGGCTATCACTGAGCTGACCATGTGTGCCAAAGCGAGCATGGATGGGGACACAGCTGGGGAGCCAGCCAACAAAAGGCAAAAATCCCATAATTGCTGTTGCAATATGCAGCCAAGAGGTGGGGGCATATACCCATTATTCAGGTCCAATGAACCATTCCCCCAAATCCACTTCCAGAACATGAAGTTTCAGATTTCCTTCCCTAGACAGAGCTTTTAAAAATAAAAACTTAATTAGACATAATTAATGGGCCCATGAACTTCTATATAAACGTCTTCTCTGGAAGAGGTTTGAGCCCCCCTCTTCAAAGCATTGCTTTGCTTGTTAGTTCAAGCTCAGGAATGGAGGTGCCTTTCACAGCACAGCAGAGAGAGGGGACTGGAGGAGTGTTCCCTTTCCTTTCACTTGTACCCCTAGAAAAGGGGTACCCTACCCCAAATTCCTAACTTGGAATCCCACAAGGGCTACTGGAAATTATGCCAAAATGATCAGACTGTTGCATCTCTCCAGTCTAGCTGAGCCCACCTCCCTGGACACTGCAGACAGTGGGTTGTCATTTTGCAGAGCTTGCAAGGGCAGTTGAGGGAAACTCCTCTTGAGTGCTTTCCTGGCCCCATGCCATGCTCAGAGGCAGAAATTAAAAATGAACCAGCAGAAGGTTCCAAGCTTGTTTGTGCCCTTGAAAGCCCCACTGAGGTCTGAAGGGCACCATCACAGAAGAGTCACAGGCACCCCAGGCTCTCTGTGTCCAGGGTAGAGGTGCTCTGTGGAGAATAGGGAGCAGAAGAACCAAAGTGGAGATCTTTTGTTTCTTTAATCAGAGCCAAAACCTACAAATAAAACCTGTGTGCCAACAGAATCTGTTTTGGTAGAAACCCTACCTAATGCAAACCGCTCAGGGCTTTTGATAAGGAGAGAGTGACATGGGGCTCTGTGGGACTCGGTGGGACTCAGGCTAGCAAATTCTTACAAAGAGAAAGCTTTCCCCTGGGTAGGGCTGCCAGATGTAGCAAATAAAATGAAGATTCAGAATATCCAGTTATATTTGAATTGTAAACCACAAATGTTTGTTTAAGTATATCCTGTGCAATATTTCTGACATACACTAAAATAGTATTCCTCGTTGATCTGAGCTTCAGATTTTACTAGCTGCCTTGTGTCTTATTTGCCAGCCCTTGTCCTGGGGAGCAGGAGTAGTTCCTTTTAGAAGCAGCCCTTATATCATTTCTCCCATTCTTGGCTCACGTGCCATGGAGGTAGGAGGAAGCCCTCTTATAGACTGTCAGTCACCTCTTAATTTGAAACAAAAGCAAGATTCTCTCCTGACCTTTGTTCTTATATTTAATATGCTGCTTTATTGAATGTTATCATTGTTAAGTCTCCTAAACCAGATACTAGTGGAAAATTTACTCCTCTTGAAAGACAGTCTTGGGCATCTGAGGTATTCCCCCTGCTTCCTTCCTGCCAGACACCGAGTTGATTTCCCTGGCTTGTCCCTGTTTTGTCCCATTCCTTGTATTTGAGGAGGTTAATAAGTAACCTCTATTAAAACCCAACCAGAGAACCCTTGCCTCAGGTGATTTTTGCCTCACTTTTTATCTCCTGTCCCTGGTCCCTGTCCTCTCCCCGCAGCTACTCTACCCCGTCCTCCAGGGACAATGACCCTGGCTCTTGGCCACTGCATTCTCCTTCCACGTTCATGTTATTGCGGGCTTCACTTGCCTGTCCGTAGAGAATTTTGGTTGTTTTAACACTTTTCACAAGCAGATGCTCTCTGCTCCCCATTCCGTCAAAAGCAGACAAACAAACAACAAAATAAAACAATAAAACTTTAATGTCACATTGGCTGTTTGGCCCTTGGTGGTCAACACATAGACTTGGTTTCGTTAGATCACAGACTGCGCCCCTTGTCCTGAACTTAATCCTAATACTAATGATAATTATGTAGGAGGAGCTGGTTTCCAGCTGGAGCTGATACATTCTAAAGGCTCTTCCTCCTTTCACTCCCAGCAAACCCACTTCGTGTTCTCCCACTTGCCCAGTTTTCTCCCACCCAGTTATTATCTCCTGGTTACTAGAAGACCAGGGAAGACACCAGTAAACTGCACCTCAGCAACAAATTCTGGATAACCGTTTATCCGCACAACAGACCTGTTACGTCACCTTTCCTTCAATTTTCATGGAACCAAGACTAAAAGTTTTAAATGCCTGGCCAGGGTACAGGTTTCCAAACATCCATGACACCTCTTTCCCAGAGGGAAGCTGGACTTGGTGACTCCAAGAGTAACAGTTCTGTAGTGATCGAAATTACCCTGATCCTTCTGATCATGTCTGGATTTACCTAAGACCATTCCTCTACTAAATCTCACTCGGCCACTTGAAATGGAGGTTTAGCCTCCCTAGGTCCTTGAGGCCCTCCATTAGCCAAATAAAGGTAAAGCAAATAATACGTATCTCTTGAATAATTGTCTAACCCAGAGGACTACTTGCTCTTCAGCTACTCTACCCTGGAGCCCCTAAATATGCTTCCTCAGATAGCTTAGGAGAAGAGAGAGGTTGCTTTCAGCAAATGAAGAGCCAGCCTTTGACTGCTAAACATCCATTTTCTTATAACCTTTGAGAAGTCATAGATCTGTTGGAACTGGTTGGATATCAAGACAAAAATTGATTTAGCAGTTGGAACTGGTTGGATATCAAGACAAAAATTGATTTAGCAGTGCTTGCAACTTGTACTTTAGAACATAATCTGTAGCCACTGGGTCAAATCCAGCCTGCCTCCTATGTTTGATAAGTATAAAGTTTTGCTGGAACATAGCCACACTCTTTCATGTACCTCTTGTCTGTGGCTGTTTTCATGCTACAATGCAGAGTTGAGTAAAAGCAGCAGAGACCATATGGCCCACGAAGCCTAAAATGGTTACTGTTAGCCATTTACAGAAGGAGTTTGCCAACCTCTACTCTAGAAGAATGGTTCTTAGCCCTCGTTGCTCGTGAGAGTCACTTGGCGAGCTTTATAAAAATTCTGATGCTGGTGTCTGCAAGTCAGGGTGGAACCCAGACATCTGCATTTTTTGAAGTGATTCTGATTCACAATGAGTGTCAGCACTCCTTGAATGAGAAAGGCACAAAAAAACTGCCACAGTGTCCCTTCTCCCTTCTTCATCCCCACACACGTGTACACACATATGCTCATACACACACACACGATCATGCCCACACCTTGACTGTTCCCCGCCCTGCCCTGCCCTGCCCTGCCCTGGGGGTCCGGGAGTTCCAACTCTGGAATCCTGCTCCACCAGCCCAATGAGAAAGAAATAACATCTGCAAAAGCTAACGTCAGCTCTGGGCTTGGAGCCCAGACCCATCTTTGCTTGAATTTCTCCCTTTCAACTCCTTGAGCATTGCCGGCTTCTAGCATGGCCTGCTGGGAGTGTTCTCAAGAAAAACTGGGAAGTTCTTTCCTGCCTTCACTTCCCTACTCCCCAGCTAGTCCTGCTCCCCATACAGGACCCAGCCTGCCCCCCCCCCGCCCCCCCCGCAACTGTTCAGCTCTTATGACTCCCAGGTCAAGTTTTGACTTGGCACAACAAGCCCCACAAGAAGAGTGGTTTTCCCGGGCTTATGGCTATTCTCTGCCTATTTTTCATTTTTACTCTGGTGACCTTTGTGACTTTCCTACCTCATGTTTTGCCATCTGGCTGCCTTGTCAGGCTCTTCCCACAAGAGAGGGCTAGGCCGCTTGCAGGGAAGGAGAGGACGAGAGATGAAATATCTTGCAGAAGCTTTTTTAAAAATGCTCATTAAACTGTTTTCCCCCAGCACACCATTCCGGAAGGCAAAAGCCTTGTATGCCTGCAAAGCAGAACACGACTCCGAGCTCTCATTCACAGCAGGGACGGTCTTCGATAATGGTGAGTTTTTCAAATACATAACTGGAGTTGTGAGAGTTGCTTTCCACCTAAGGGAAATTTCCATAGAACAGGTAAGACTGAAAAGGACTGTGTATATGTGCGGAGGGGGTGGGCGCGGGGGTGGTCTTTTCCCACAATGAGAAAGCAGTGGCAGAACTCAAGGAATCACTGTCAAGAGAGGACGAATGGAGTCACCTCCTCACTGTGACAGGACAGTGTCATGGAGATGTCATGAGCATTGAATGCAATGGTCCATGCACAGGCTTTGAGCATCGGGGGACTGGACAGAGCGGGGAGACAAAGCAGTGGAGAACAGGAACCCTGCAAGTGGGCAGAAGCTTTGGGTGTGGTCTGCGGCCGCAGAGTCTATGCCTGTCTTCTGGGGTCCCAGGGGATTCACTGTCCATGGCAGGTGAGGCCGGTTTCTGAGATGGTCCGGTGAGCTCAGGGCGTCGGGTGAGCTTGGGGCAGATGAGCTGTTCTGCATCCCTGCTCATCCTTCCCCCGTTGCCCGGAGTGGGAAGTTGACCCCAGAGTCAAACCACCCCTGCCAAGTGCCAGCTGTCCTGCACAGGCATTCCTGCAGGAAAATGGATTCGGGCACCTGCCCCAAGGACCTCGGGCTTGCTTGATGTAACATTTCCTTGTTCCATTTGTTTGTATTCCTCCCTCAAAAAAAAAAAAAAGGGAATATTTTAAAAAATGAAAATTGGTGGAGTTGATGTCCCAATGTGTCATAACTTATTATTGGCCTTGAGAGGAAAATCAGGATTCTGGGGAAAGGCCCAAGTTTCTGTTGCGGCTGAGATTTCCCCAGATGTAGTTCTCCTTGGGGGTTAATCCCTCTCGATGCCTGGGTGAAAGGGTCTGTTTGTTTTGCTCAAAGGAGGAAGCAAAAACCAGCTGCCTGGTTTCCGGAACTGGACATGCTCTGGGCCTCCCTCCTTGACCTCAGGTGGGGCAGGGGCAGAGTTCCCCGGCAGGGGTGAGTTAACACTGTGCACTGCTCCCTCCCTGTCCTGGCCGCTCAGTCCTGCCTAGAGCTGGACCACACCTCCTACCACCTGCCTGAGACCTGGAAACGTGGGAATGCCAGGGCTCCCGTGTAGCACTGGACAGCCTGAACTTGAGATTCAGGCCACTGTAGCACAATCCCTGGCTTGACCACTTGATTCTGTGTGGCCTCAAGCAGTGATTTAACCTCTCTGTGCCTCAGTCCTCTCTGTCATAGACAGAGAACAGATGGATGCGAGAGAAGATTGAGATAGTGTGCATGACATGTTTACGGTAGTACTCAACACACAGTGAGCCTCAGTGTCTTGCTTTTGTTATGATGATCATCATTTCACTAGGTCTGTTTTAGAAAAATGCCCTGATGCTCTTACCATTCACAGTGGCGGTTTTTCTTCTTAGCTGCTAATACAACCCAGCTCTGGCTTGCTCAGCTGGGCAGTAGGTATTGCACCTCAACACCCCAGATCCTGGCTCTCTGTAAGGGCCTTGAGGTCCCAGCGGGAGCAGAGATGGGCTCCTGGGGACCAGCCTTGAGTGCATCCATATGCAAGGGGGCTTCCCCACTGTGTGGCCAGCCCCTGCCTTCAGCACGGCAGAGATAATAATCAGGCTTGAGTAGATAAAATGGGAAACAGTCAGAGAGCACCTGGGGAATTCCTAGGTCACACTTGGTGGCCCTTGGTCTGACCCGGCAGGGCTGGGAGTGAGCCCACAGCTCCTCATGTATGGTTCTCAAAGTCCCCAGAGCACTGGCCTTAAACCTTTGCTCTATTAACCTTCATTTGGGTTCTTTAAAAATCAAGGTGTACAGACAGCAAGCCAAGCCACCTCTCCTGTCAGCAGCTGGAGCTTTTAGGTTCTGGCACACCTGTAGATGAAGTGAGTCCACTGAAGGTTGTCTAAAGCCATGTCCTCGGCGAGTGTCCCTTGTGAATAGGCCCATGTGTGGGGGAGTCACAGCCCAGGCATAACATGACACAGTTTTCATGGCAGACAAATCGGTGGGCTGCATGCATGGGCTCTGGTGCTGTGCTGTCAGCAGGGAAGGGGCTTCTGTACATACATGAGCAAGAATTTAGAGCTCCACATCTAGCGGTAAATCCAGAGCTTAAAAGTCTGTCTTCTAAACCACAGTTCACTCCATTACCCCGATGGACAAGGGCCTGGTGTGTTTCCTATCAGCTATTCATTCTGACAACACAGAGGACCCCTGATCCCAGGGCAGAGTGGGTTTAAGCTCACAAAAGGTCTGTGTAAGCATGTGTGTCTTGTTGGGGAGTCCTCTTCCTGAGTTCAGCCTTCTTCCCTTTTTTTTTTTAGACAACTTTATTGAGGTAGCCATATACCATGTAATTTACCCATTTAAAAATGTACATTTCAGTGGGTTTTAGTATATTTAGAGCTGTGCAACCATCACCATTATCTCATTCCACAATATCTTCACCCCCAAAGAAACCCTGCTCCCTTTAGCAGTCATTCCCCATTTATCCCAAGCCTGCTCCATCCCACCTATATATCTGCTCATCTACTTTTTGGCACTATAAATTTGCCTGCTCTGGATGTTTCATGTAAACGGAGTTACACAATACAGGGTCTTTGTAACTGACTTCTTTCACTTTGCATTATAGTTTCAACATCATCCATGTTGTAGTATGCTTCAGAACTCCATTCCTTTTAATGGATATACCACATTTTGTTTATCCATTTATCCGTTGATTGACATTTTTATTATTTCTACTTTTTGGCTCTTTTTATTAGTAATGCTGCTATAAACATCTTCACACAAGCTTTTGTGGGGACATAGATTTTCCACTCTCTTTGGTGATATACCACAGCATGGGCCTGCTGGGTCACATGGTAACTCTATGTTTAATTGTTGAAGGAACTGCCCAACTGATCTCCAGCAGAGTTATACATTTGGCATTCCCCGCTTCTTTAGTTTTTAAGTCTCCTTTTTGAAGTAGTTTAACTAGCCAACTGAAAAAAGAAATGATACTTGATTTTTAACTGCCAAGTCCTTCCCTTCCCAGCAGGTTCTGTGACTGCTCCCGCCCCTCAACTCAGTAATTTTCTTCACCCCAGAAGGGCCAATGATAGCAGGAGAGAGGCAGAGTACTTACCTGGCCTTCCTGTGGTCTCCGGGGATCCCAACAGCATTACTGACACTAGTTTATTTTTAACCAGCAATGCCAGTGACCTTTCCAATTCCCTGAAAGGCAGAAGGCCACAGTAATCCCTGAAGACAACACCTCTCAGTGTTCACTGAGCTGCAGTCAAAGAAGGATCTGACAAAATATCGATCTAGTTTTTAATCTAGTTGGTTGGTAATGTTTTATGACTTCCAATTTTTAGAAAATGCTATTTAGACCCTACTTGCTCCATCCCTTTGCCTTTTTAGGAAAAAAAGTGGACATTAAAGAAAAGAACTATTCACATGTCAGAGAGGTTTTTTCCTTGTTCTCTCACTCAGCAATTTGTTGCTGAAGAGCCTAGGTAAGGCCTTAGCAATGTGAGTGGCATGCTCTGTAGCTGTCAGATTAAATCATCAGATCAATGAGAAGGAAGTTTTCTAATGACAGCATTAGAATAAATGAGTGAGTGTGTGTGTTTGTGTGTGTGTCTTGTCTTTCTCAGGATCAAGAAGCAGAAAAGAGGATGAAGAGGGAGGGGCTCCTTGAGGGGAAAGTCAGTTGTTCGTAATGATTAATCTCCAGGTCTCTGGATCCCAGGGGCCCCCTGTGAATCTGGAGCGGCTGCCCAGTCAGCTCTTGGACTTTGTGCAGTGGGTAACGGCTGTGCAATACTCGGAAGTAACTCCAGTGGCAGCCCTTGCCAGTCTACTAGGAAACTGCGTTTCACCAAGAGCACCTCAGACAGTAACTGGAAAGAGAAATAACTGGTGTTCCCAGGGACATTAGTCATCTAGAAGCAGTACAACTAGTGATACCTGGAAATTCACATGGCATTCACTAAAATTGGGTTCTTGGGATGCTTTTATCCAGATGTGAGATGGGTCGGATCCTTCCCTCCTGGGGTACAGAGTGCAGGGGTGAGTGCAGGCAGGGCCGCCCCAGATTTCCTCTGCTGATAAAGGACATCTCAGGCAATGGGGTTCCCAGAGAATTTCTCAGTGGAGTCTTTTAGCCTCCCCAGCCTCTCCAGGCGTTTCTACCAGCTGCCTAACTGGTCTTACTGCATCTACCCTGCCCGCTACCCAGGCACTACACAGCAGCCAGATGATCGTTTAAAAATGGAAGTCACATCATGTTGTTCTCCCGCTTCCAGTAGCCTCATGTTGTTCTTAGAATTATTGACGAAGTCCTCCAGGTCCCGCCCCTGCCCTCTGGCCCCCTCTTCCCCTCCCTTGATACACAGCAGCCTCTGAGTCCTTCTTTATGTTCTTAAATAGGGTCGGCAAACTATGACCTGCCACTGACTGTTTTTGTAAATAAGTCTTCCCTGGGACACAGCCACCCACACCTTGTGTTTACATATTATCTGTGGCACAGATTTGACAGATTTGAGTAGTTTCACACTGATGATCTGGCTTTTTAAGAAAAACTTACACAGCACTGTTCTGAAATCACAACAAGCTTCTCCCCATCTTGGGGCCTCTCACTTGCATCACCCACTGCATGGCCATCCACTTTGGATTATTTAGGTTTTAACTCTTCAAACTCTTGGCCCTCCACCCATATCCCTATCTTAGTCTCATTCTCTCCTCATCAGTTTACCTAAAATTACGTGCTTACTTACTATAGATGGCCTCTCCCCTAGAGCAGAGTCTCTTCTTGTTCTGTACTGCTTGCAGAATGTGGCACATAGCAGGTGCTGAAGTAACATTTGTTAAATGAGTCCACTCATTCAACCACACAGGGGTCTGCACTCCTCCAGCTAGTGCTGCTTCGCCTTGGGGCAGCCTGCTGTCAGGATCTTGGGCTCACAGTTGCTCCTTGTCCATCGTGAGTGAAGGAGCTGGGAGAGCGTGAGTTGCCCGAGCAGGGGTGTGTGATGTGAATATGGACTGAGCAGAGAGAGAGTAGTTGGCAGTAAGCACAGCCATGTCAGCAGCAGCTTTTATTTGTTATAATGCCTGCTGGGCTGGAGAGCTGCCCAGGCAGCTCACTGCAGCACCTTGTGTGTTTATATAGCATAGGGGACACTGGTACAATTCAGAAGGTTGGATGTTGATGTGATTCAACCCAACAAGTACTTACAAGCATCTTCAATGCCCTGGGAGCATTAGGCTAGGCCAAAGTGGTAGTGCTTAACGCCTCAGAGACTGGGGTCAGATGTCCTGAGTTCAGATCCAGCTCCACCATCTGCCAGCTCTGTAATTGGGACTAGAAGTTTAACTTCTCTGAGTCTTTGTTTCTCATTAGTAACATGAGGATAACAGCAGGAGCAACTCTGTAGACATAGTGAAGATGGGAAGAGGTCCCGCAGGGGAAGCACTTAGCAAAGGGCCCACCAGTTAGTCTCCATGGGCACCATCATTCTTATTCTCAAGGATCACCTCCTCTGGTTGGTTAGGGGTGTGATAAAGTGGAAGAGGGCTTGGTTTCTGGGATCAAACAAATTGGGTTCAAATCCTGGTTCTAACGTGGTGCCCCTACATGAATCAGTTTACCTCTCTGAGCCTTAATTTTTTCTCAGCTGTAAAATAGCGATAACAGTAGTACAAGGTAGGATCCTTAAGATTAAATGAGTCCGTCTCTGAGACCATGGCTGTTTCCCAGTCACCATTTGTAGGTGTTAGCTTCTTTCATTGTAGTTCACCAGAAGAGAGTCAGTGAAGTATGTTGAATGATAGAATACAAACTAAAATGCACTGAAAAACTAGTTAGGGAAAACAAGTTTAACACATTTCAACAGCATTAGTAAGACCTATGAATAATATGCGGTATATATGATGAGCATTCCAGGAACCTGGGGAAGGGAGGGAGCAGGTAGATGGCATTCCATGATGATATTTATGGACGAGGTGGGGCTTCAACTGAGCCTTGAAGTGCGAGGAAGGGAAACAAAAGATGACAGAAACCTGGGGGTTGTGGGGCGGCCTCTTTTCTTCGTCAGTGCTTACTATCACTTCATTGCAGGGGCATTTTGGCACAGAGAAGCCATAACTTTCTCTGAATGAGTTAAAATGCAGATCCCTGGGCCGCCTCCTCGAGATTTTGCTGTAACCGATAAGCCATGAGGCCTCGGAATCTGCAGTTTTAATAACTGTGCAGGTGGTTCTGTTGCACCTGGTCTGGTACCACGCCTTAGTGAGGCCCAACTTGCTGACTGCACTGAGTCAGCAGTCTGACCCAAAGGCTACATCATCCTCTGCCACTCCCCGTGGCGTTTCTCTCGTTCTTTAGTTTGGAGGGCCTCCTTTGTCCCCTCTGATTCTTCCCTTATTCTGCAAATTCCATTTCTAATGTTTGCACACATTACCATCTCTGCACCCGAACTGTGTTTGAACACAGGAACGGAGAGAGTCTGAAAGAGATGGACTCAGTGCATCCAGTAGAACAGCAACTCAGCGAGGAGCTTTGCTGTTAAATAGGAAGTGACTTTTTTGGGTTTTTAATTTGTGTGTTGATTTATTCTTTCTAGGTCTTTTGTTTATGGGAGTGAGTTTGATTTGTTTGGTTTGGGTTCTGAACATTTGAGATTTACCTCAGCTTAGGTAGTTGTTGAAACCAGGTTGTTGAGACTCAAGTTTGACCAGAAAAGTCCTGCTGACCAGTCCAAATTACTGGTCAAATGATGCAGGCTCCCCTACTGACTCACCCATGCTGAGCATTTACTGTGCTTTCTCCGTGTTGGCTCCTGAACCTCCAAAAGAGTCCACTGAGGGGAAGAGAGTGTTTTTTTTTTTTTAATCACCACTTGATAGGTTGAAGAAACTGAAGTAATCTTGACAGTATCAGCTGGATAGATGGGCAGGAGGCTGGGGTGTTTGGGTGCTAGCATTTCAGTGGTGGGCTGAGAGAGCTTGGTCACTGGAGACACTGCATTGCTTTTAAGCTGTGTTGTGTTCTTTCTTCCATGGAACTTCTCTCCCAGACTCCTCCCTGTGTGGTGTCATGAATCCAAAGTACCCTTGCTACTTGGATCTATTCCTAGAGAAACAAAAGCATGCAAACATGTTGAAGGCCAGCTCATAGGTGTTTGACCTTGTCTTTACCTACAGAAGCCTTCAAAATCTAGCCAAGGTTGACACTGATCTTCTGTAAGCCTCAGTGGTGATCCTTCTGCTGCTTCTACATTTAGTCTGTTTGGTCTCTGTTCTTCCTTCTTTCCCTACAGACCGAAACTAGAGTTGTATTATAGTGTTGGGGGTGGAAATGCTTTTCTAAGATGAACTCAGGAAGTCATTTAATTAGCCTAGGAAGGGAATGGGGGGAATTCATTCTCTCCAAATAATCTTGGAAAAATTGGTGTTTTCCTAAAATGTTAGGAGCAAATATCCTGCCTCACCCAAGAGTGATTTGTATATTCCCAGTTCACAAACATGAACAGCCCCCTCTCCCAAGTCCATGATCCCTTCTTTCTCCCTTCCTGCTGTTGACTGCTTTGCGGACTCAGCTGGATTGTGTGTGTAATTTTTACAATGTCACAGTGGTTTCCATGGAGATGGATTGTCATATAACAGAACATTGGGTATGTAGTCTTTGGATATGGAAAAATCAAAGGGGTAGAAATTTTCTAAACTGCAATAGAGAGGGAGAGGACAGCTTTCAGACTTGTATATAGGAAAGAGGAAAACTGTAGAGAACAGGAAAGAAAACTAAGGAAGGGTATGGTTGGAAACAAGAGAGGGCCATTCAAAGACTATAAGATACTTTTTAAAAATGCAGAGGGAATTTGCAAGAAAATTGGAAGCAGAGAATCAGGATTTGAAGGGAAGTAAAATGATTAGGAGCTAGATATCAGTCCTCCATGGGTACTTGGTCTGGTACATAGTCAGCACTGGGTGGGTAGATGAGTACATGCATTGATGGATACCTAGGTAAATATAGAGAGGGAATATCATGACTGTGACCTCTAGCCTAAAAAACTGAAATGTTACTTCTTTATAGTTAAAACCAGGAACTTCACAAAGTCCATGAAACTCCTAAAATTGTGAGTAGAATTTGAGTGTCTGTGTCTTTTCTCCTTTTAATTATGGAGAAAGTTCAGAATGACCTTCACCAGGTCCCCCCAATGGGTGAAGAACCTCTGGTTTAAACAAATTCAAGAATTATGTTCCTTAACGAGCAACGGCACTCGATCTGTACGCTTCCTCCACACCGGCGCAGTCCGTATCCCGCCCCTTGCCCTATATGTAACGTCATCTTCTCTCTCTGCTTACTTCCTGTACAGTGCATCCGTCCCAGGAGCCTGGCTGGTTGGAGGGGACTCTGAATGGAAAGACAGGCCTCATACCCGAGAACTACGTGGAGTTCCTGTAAATGGGAGCCCTGGCAGAACTGCTGAGCTTTCCACGGTATCCATGACAACTGCTGATTCCAGTGTTGTGGGCCATTGCTCTTTGCCGCTGAGAAATACAGGGTGACTGACTCTGCTGCTACCTGTCAGCACGAACGTTTTCGTAAACTCTGGTGTCACACATCCCCGTGATCATCTCAGCTGACATGCGTGATACTGCAAGAAAGAGAAGGAAATCAGCAGAGGAGGCCATTTGATTTTGATCACCACGAGAAAGGCTTACAGAGCCATGTCTCTTATTTAGCACCCTACATGGGGTGTGCTCATTTTGTTTTCACAGTGATCCAAACCCCAACCTTCTGAAAAAGGAAGTAAGTGAGATACAAGTAGTCCCCAAGAGCATGCATTGTAGCCAGCTCTGACAGGGCTGGGCAGTGGCCTGAGATCCAGGCTGGGTCCACTGCTTTTGTTTACAGTAGACACTCACTCTATCCCACCTCTGAATACTTGAGCCCCGCAGTGCTCCAGGCTGCTGGGTCTGTTAGTTTGCATGAAGGATGGAGAGGGGTCACGGCACTGGTTACACAAGATCCAATCTCACCATCTCTCAAGCAGCCATTGGCCCAGCATCAGCAGAATTCTGTCCAGTCCTCTCATGCAAGAGAACACACACATTCCAGGGCCCCCCTCCCAAGCTGGGAACTTCTCTGCCACCGAGGGCTGCCATCACCTTATAATCATGGCGACCCAGCCTACTCTAAACCAAACCAAAAAGTAACACAAAATATTTGCATGACATATTTTTTTGCCCCCTCGCCCTTTCAGTCATTTTTTGAATGGTTTTCCAACAACCTGGTCAAGTTCTGGACTTCCCTGATGGCTCAGCTGGTAAAGAATCCGCTTGCAATGCAGGAGACCTGGGTTTGATCCCTGGGTTGAGAAGATCCCCTGGAGAAGGGAAAGGCTACCCACTCCAGTATTCTGGCCTGGAGAATTCCATGGACTGTATAGTCCATGGGATTGCAAAGAGTCGGACACAACTGAGTGACTTTTAATTAACCAGGTCTACTTGGGGGCAGATGGAATATCAGCTGAGAACCGTTCCCTTTCTGATGAATTTCAGCAGCACCAGTATATATTTGGAGCAAACTCCAGTAACCTCTTGAGATTAAATTACATACAGGCTTAATATTTCTGTTCTTACATGCAACTCATGTCTGTTTTCTAGAGGGCAACATGCTGCCTCCTAAAGAGGGACACCATCTATCTGTCTCTCTCATTCCCTCCTGTTCACCTGTCCCTCCTCCTGCCCCTGCCTGCCTCTAGCCTACCACTGACCAGCTCCCGTGGCCATACCCTGGGTTGCTTAGCACTGGTCCCCTGGAGGTTTTCAGGCATGACTCCTGAGCTAATAACCCCATGGCCTCCAGTTTAAAAGGACATACATGTTCACTGCCACTCAGAAAAAGGGAATTGTTTCTCAGGCTTTTGGGGTGTGAGACTAATAGGAGAAGCCATTGTGATTTAGGAGGATGCCACAAGGCTGGGGCATGGAAGGTGGGATGGGTACCTTCTGAGAAAGAGGATTTCCTGGACCAGAAGGGGCTGGGTCTTGTGGAAGACCACCTTGGATGGGGAAGTTTGGCCTGGACATTTCAACTCCACTTGGCTTCCAAAGAAGAGAGTCCCAGTATTTCCACACTTGAATGTCCCTACAAGAGTGATTCTGGGCAGACCAACTCCAAAGTGAGGGACTGTCAAGCTCCCTGGGAGCCCTACAGGAATGGCAGCCATGTTCCAGAGTGTGTCCCGCTTCCGGAATTCCTCTTGAGGGAACTTTAAAGAAGAAAAGAAAAACTTGAATTGTGTTGAATTACTGTATCTTTTACATTTTTTTGAAAAGATAAATTTGTAAATAGAGTGATTTGAAATACTATATGGCAAAGTTTTATATTTGATATTCTTTAAGCTAGTTGCTTCACACATTTAAGCTTTGATTGCTGAACAAGTGTGTATATGAGGCAGAGAGGGGGACACATGGTCAGAGAGAGCCAAGGTCAGCCCCTCTCTTGCCTTGAGGAAGAAGATATTTCCACATATTCTTGCTGGTTCTTGGTGGTGGCCATGGCACCTGAATGGTGTTCAGTCTTCTTTATCTAGATGTGGTTTTTTAAGCATTTCTTGGGCTTTGGCTTTGGAGATGGAAAGAGCATCTTCAGGCAATTAACTTTTCCAAGAACTCCTACCCAGTAGTAAGATGAAGCTCAGGATTTAAACAGGTGAGGCCAAGGGTTAGATCTTTTTTTTTTTTTTTTTTTCCATTTTTCTTCTCAGGTGTATTTCTTGGTACCCCAAAGTACCAGGACAGAAGATGGGATAATTGTGTGCTCCTTGTATCTTATTCTTCTGGCACATCTTATAAGGCTTTATAACCAAGTCCAAGTTAAAATTTGCAAATGTTGTGTGTCTAGGTTCTAAGAAAAACTGGCTTAGGATATTTAGTTCTTGATATGCTGCTTCTTCCTTTTTTCCTAAACATGTTTATTCATCTCAGATTTCCTCTGGCTCCAAAATAAGAAAAAAACTCCAAAGAGGGATGAAGATTGTGCTATTATAGCTTTCTAGATGACTTTAAAGGTAATAGGAGTTTGTTGTGATTCATTCCATCAGCTCAGGGATGACACAGCTATTACCCAACTCAGAGCAAGTGAGACACTACCAGTGGATGAGGGAATAAGAATTAAGATTGGAGAAGACTGAGAGAGGACTCAGGGAAGCTAGTTGCTTTCAATAGTTGCTACTATTGAAAACCCAAGAAGAAAAGGCACATAGGGGCAGCATACATGTATTCCTTGCAGACTTTGAACAGCTTGGGGACCAGCACACACTGTACCACTGTGCTTTCTAACTAGAGTGCAACATAATGCTTTTAATACATTTGACATTTTAGAACACCTGCCCCATCAGAACCTTAACTGGAGCTACTGTGGTGGTGGCCAGAAGGTCCAGACCCTGGCTTTCTGAGCTCCTTACCAAAGCGTACCTGTAGACATTTGGCCCCACCTTGACCACGTTGGAAACATGTCCCTGCCTCCTCAGTTAGCCCTGATTTGAAGCTGAGGGAAATTGGACTGGCGCCAATGGGAATTTTAGGTAGAGCCCTTCCTGACTTCTCTGGGCAATGCTGGGCCCTGACAGATGGCTGCTCTGCTTCCCTTTCCCTGGCCAGGCTCCCCTCCTCCCCATCAGCTACAGAACTGGAGACACTGTTCAGAATATGAGCCAATTAAAAAGAAGGAACTTAAAGACTGAAAATGGGTTTTGCCCTCCACTACCTTTGCTCCTCACTTCTGACTCTTGTCTTTTGTAAGAAGGGATGTTAGGGCAGGTTAGGGGAGTGAACTGGGTAACAGAGTGGAATACTGTAGACCAAAATCTCTAAGCTTTCCCAGGAGTCTCATGTTGCTTTTGGAAGGCCCTGGGATCAGGTGGGCAGACATAGCCTGAGTCTTCTGTGGGCATCAAGATCAGTCTCTCACTCCTCCTCCAGGTACTCCCAGAATTCCATAGCTACAGAATACCATGTCTTGAGAAGACAATTAGTTTCACAGTCTTCCCCCAACTCCCCAGGCAAGTGAAATCCTGACTTGCTCAAGACTGATAATATTCTCTTCTCTTTTCAAATCTGAACATAGAGGCATGTATCCTGTATAGCACTGCCAGCCATGGTGTCCCAGGATTGGAGCCAGTTTTTAGCTTGGTTTTTTAGTATTTCTACAGACAATAACTATTTCTTTATGTCAGACCAAACTGGGTTTTGTTTTTTTTCCCAGCATAATTCCAGTTCATGTCCTCTTGCTGAGTCCTTTTTGGATAGAGAGGCAGAGAGAAAGAGAGAAAATGGAACAATCAGGTATTGGCCAACTGGTATTAGCAACACAAAGTCATGCTAGTGACAGTGTCATTTCAGGTTTGCCAAGACTCTGCAGTTATGTATGCCATGCCTATAGCTCAGATGGAGGTCCTTCTGCCATGAGAGCTTGTATTTCTTGAAAGCAGCAACCCCAGTGACACCAAAAACTATTTTGACTGTATAGATCCTAAAAACATCCATGATTGAGGAGTAGTGAGACCGAAATAATCTACTGAAGTAACATGATCAACTACTCATGACTGTCTATTGGCACATTTCATCTTCTGGCTCCTGTTTCCAAAAGAAAAATCTGGAGCACTCAGCTTTATAGACACAGAACTCCTAGGTACAACAGTGACTGTCATGGCACTCACAGTTCCCCCTAGCATTGAATGTTTTATGAGCAATCATGTTACCCAAGTAGGTAGCCAGCGTTGAGGAAAATCAGCAGCCTCTTGACTACCTGACTTTGAAAGGAATGGCCTGGGTGTTCTTCTAGGGAGTTATCTGTCATATCTGGCAAACTTGACAGTGATTATTTACCTAGACAACCCTGCCCCACTCTTTTAAGTCAGCTGTGTGTCCTCTCACACACCCTGTGTCGGCATTTAAAAAATGTATCTTCTTGTGCTTCAAATGTGTTTGACAATCAGGCTGGTGTGCTGGGTGCAGAATCACTTTTCTGTAAGTGTAGCCTCCCAGTGACAACAGCCATGGAATAATGGACCTTGCACAAACCTGAGCATACCTGAGACCAGACTCCATCAAGTCATAATTAGCTTTTTCCTTTTACTGCCTACAGTACCTATCTAACTAAGGAACTTCCGAGAGCAGAGGGAGAGGCCATGTAGAGAATCCACACATCATCCAGAGCCAGCCCTGGCTAAAATGTGGCCTCCTAATGGAAGGATTTGTATTCTTAGAAGAAAAAAGATTGGGTGTAAAGTAATGCTAGTAGCAGAAAGGGATAAACCATGCTGAAGAACTGTGGATTTTTTTAAAAGAAAGATAAATATAGTTCTTAATAGGGGGGGAAATCTATCACATGAAAAGGTCACAACTAATATTTTACAGAAGTTTTACAGGATAATACAAGATGAAAACATCTTTCAAGGCAGAATGCCTTAGCAAGCAAGGCTAAGGACCTTAGCACAGTCCTGGACCCATGTAAGTATAGCAATTACTATTACATCAGAATTCTACTAAAGTGTAGTCAGTTAGAACCAAGAGTAGTGATAAAGTGTCAGAATTACCTGGGCAGTTCTGGAGGGGCCAAGACATTCAGCACCTTTCCACATCAACCATTTCTATAGAATTGTCCAAACAGACCCTGCATGCAGCTTCTTTGGGTATCCAGATGCCAGGGTCAACCTTGTACCTGTGAGAAGAGGTTCATCTGGTGATTCTTAAGTGTATCTGTATTAGTATGTGTTTGTGTGTGTGTGTGTGTATGTACAGCTCACATTTACATATATAACGACACAGACTCTCTTCTAGAAACCCACATAAGCTGGCAGTTGCTGAGCCTTGACAGCCTTTAAGATTTAAAGGTTGAGAATTACAGAAACAAGAGAGGCTGTTGATAGACGATCAGAATGATCCAAGATGTAAATTAAGTGCCATTTTGAAATTTTGTTCATATTTATCAGATGGTTACTATCTACAGCTATATTCCTTATTAACTTATTAAGAGTCATGTTGAAAAAAAAGATCAAACTCATAAACAGTAAGTCATTCATACTAGACTAGTGTTCACAAGCACTCTAAAAGACATTTTGTCCATTACTTTGAAGAAAATATTTGCATGTTTAGTTCATAATTTAGGCTACCTTTGAGTATATTATAAAGTGCTGTGTGATATAATATCAATAAACTACTTAAAAATGGCACTTTAATGTTTTTTTTAAAAAACCATAAATGCACTGTTTTAAACTTCAATTCAGTATTGAATATTGACTGGTGTGTAGAATCCTATTTCTTAATTAAAAAGTAACTTGTGACTAGAATAGAACTTTTCCCCTGTTATTCATAAAACAATTTTGCCATGTTCGGGCTTTAGAACAAACAAACGAGAAAAAAACTGTGCTTTCGCGTCACTAAGCATATCTATAAAGAAAATATAGTTTCTGTTGAGTGACCTCTGAAACTTGGCTTTCTTACATTTGGTTGGTTTATGTGACAATCTCTGTGAAATGAGTGGAAGTATGATTTTTGCATTAAATGACTTTTCCATTTGGTGGTATGTTTGTCTCTTGAATTTCTGACAAAGTTTTGTTTTGACATGATGCATATTTTAATATGTTTCAAATAAGCAAAGACCATGATCAGAAGTTACAAGTGTGGTCTCCTGTGGTCCCTGGCGACAACCGCTGTGCTGATTTCTGATGTGCTCTGGGTAGCTCTGGTTTCCTTTAGGGAGAGGTCCACTGCTTGTGAACTACAATTAAACTGCAGAGTCACATTCCAATGACTGTTTCTGAATTTATCTCTTGGGAAACATATTTTATTCTTCCTAAATTCGATTGTCAAGTCAACCACTTTCTGGAACTTCCATTAACAGTCTGGAATAAGCAAAGAGCCAGAGTATAGACAGTCCTGTCACAAAGCTGGGTGTGTCTCCCAGGGTTGTATTAATAAATCAGTTACTTGTGACTTGTTGTCCCAGGCCAGCTCATTTTATTGAGTTGTTTCATTCATCACATCCCCTCCAGGTACATCCTGAGTTGCAGCCTGAGGGCCAGGTTTGCAGTGCGCTCCCAGCTTCTGCTATGAGAGCAGAGGAGCCAGAAGGAGAGGGCAAGGGAGCCAGGACTTTGGGGATGGAGGGCAAGGCTTCTGATTCCAGAAGCTTGCCCTGGGCAAGCAGAAGGTGAGTGAGTAGGTGCCTGGTTCTGAGGGATACCTATTTGAATATGTGAGTCACATGTGAACTGTTTATCCTGTCCTTGTTTGCCACTTAGTAAGGGCTGGTTTACCACAGGAACAACACAGATTCACCGCACCTTCTTCCTTCACTGAGCTCA